ATTGAACTTTTCCACCCAGAAATTTAAACAGTAATGGGCTTTCTAAAGTAACAATCAATTTTATTAAACTCAAGTTCGAGTTTTATATACTTACCGATCCTTTAATAATTAACGGTTTCTTTTTGCTTTTGTTTTTACTTAACCATTTAGCACCGCGCTCGTTTAGTTTTAGGTTACGTGAAACAAACCATCATTTCCCGTAATCTGACTAAAGTTAATCACAACTCTTACTTGTGTTTACTTCGGTCCGCATTTACTTATTTCACTTTTTCGCGTTTGGTCGTTCATTTGCAATTTACAAAAAAAGCACAGAACTTAAAATAATCCATATTACTGATAATAAGAATAAGAATTGTTTTTAAAATGCGGTTTTGAACAATTTGCATCTAAATCAGCTGTCATCTGTGTCAGACAGTTACGATGAGAGCGCCATCCATTAGGATATTAGCAACTAAATCGTGGTAGGTAATAGTATATTACGCACCGAGTGCGAAAGTAGGTTATTTTTCGAAGAATTTTAATCACCCGAGGCGCGCAGCGCCGAGGGTGATTATATTCTAAGAAAAATAACCTTTCGTCGAGGTTCGTATACGATTTTATTCACGATCATCATTATAATCATTCCATTATCAAAAATAAAATAATTCACTAAATTTATACCATTGTTTAAATACTTTATAGTATATTCATCTTATGCGCCATCTGCAATATTATTGCCCTACATAAAATGTTGTCGGTAATACAGATTTGGAAATTTACCTAATTAATATTCATATTAACATGCATGTTAAAAAATGGGCCATACTAAAGAATTTCAATGTACATCCCCTCAAATAAGGGAAATTGAGTGTAGTAAAAAATTTACTCCCCGAATGAATTTTTGAAGAGAATGAACAATGGTGGGCAGGAAAAAGTATAGGTAAAACTTCATGTTTTACTTGCTTATTTTAATGAGGTAAAGGTAAAGAAATCATCCACATTATGAACGACCAAATAATGTTGTGATCCACATTCAAACCTAAAGCGGTAATGCCTAATGACCATGTCAGTTTTATTATTCTAAAATGTACCTACAGCGATCTTTTATGATTACAGATTTAGACTGGGTTACAATATTAGTATTATAATCTGTGTAGATGTCAATAACGAAAGATTTATTCTCCAGATCCAATCAGGTAGTCACTAAACACCTGTTCCAATACGATAGCCCTAAAAAATAGCATTATCTATTTCTAAAATGTGACAAATTACCTACATTACCTACGGACATTGTTTTTGGCATCTCATCGCTACAATATTAGCAAGTGCTAGTGGAGTTCTTCAACTTAAAACAGTTCGGTGGCTGTAGATCGGCTGAGGTAGCAGAAGGTTTCGTCGCCCATAACGTCGCCCAGTGGCTCATTCGCTTTACGGGCACGCGAAAATAACAAAGTATGGCAGTATCCTCTTCAGGTAGTGCTATACGACGTCTCCGATATGCAACATTATGATGCCATAAATTGCCATCCCTTGCTCTTCTCATGGGTCGCAAGCGCAACCCAATGTTTCCATGTCTTATGGACAAGAATTGAACTTTTCCACCCAGAAATTTAAACAGTAATGGGCTCTCTAAAGTAACAATCAATTTCATTAAACTCAAGTTCGAGTTTTATACACTTACCTATCCTTCAATAATTAACGGTTTCTTTTTGCTTTTGTTTTTACTTAACCATTTAGCACCGCCATCGTTTAGTTTTAGATTACGTGAAACAAACCATCATCTCCGTAATCTGGCTAAAGTTAATCACAACTCCTACTTGTGTTTACTTCGGTCCGCATTTACTTATTTCACATTTTCGCGTTTGGTCGTTCATTTGCAATTTACAAAAAAAAGCACAGAGCTTAAAATAATCCATATTACTCATTATAAGAATAAGAATTGTTTTTAAAATGCGGTTTTGAACAATTTGCATCTAAATCAGCTGTCATCTGTGTCAGACAGTTACGATGAGAGCGCCATCCATTAGGATATTAGCAACTAAATCGAGGTAGGTAATGAATATTACTAACCTCGAATCGAACATTACTAACCTCGAGAATCTACTTTCCTCCCTCCTGGAAAAATAAGTGTTGTAAAACACAACTTCCTTATCCTTCAAAATGACAATTATGAGACTGATTACAATATGATCGTGAATAATGAAATATTACTAACCTCGAATCGAACATTACTAACCTCGAGAATCTACTTTCCTCCCTCCTGGAAAAATAAGTGTTGTAAAACACAACTTCCTTATCCTTCAAAATGACAATTATGAGACTGATTACAATATGATCGTGAATAAATGTATATTAATGTGCTGGTTATCGATATCCAGTAACCAGTGTATTGACTAGCTTCCACATACCGCCAGCCAGTAGGTACAACATCAAAATATCAAGCAATTTTTTTTTTCGTTGTTTTAAGATGTACTGGTGCGTATACTGGCTATCGTATACTGGCTACTTTCACGCTGAGACAAAGACAGAACCGCCAATGCCTTCCAATACTTGTTTTTTTAATTCAGAAATTTTTGAAACAGTGACAAGTTTGAGTAGGAAGGAAGATCTTTCGTGTGTTTAGCACATTTCTACAAAACAAACAACTATTATGGTCACTTTGTCCGTCCCTATGGATGTGTCGCCAATAGAACTTGATCTCATAAGGGCTATTGTTTTTTTCGCTATTTGGTTCTTTATGGTGTCGCGGTTTCCGCCAAGGAAGGAATGTTTTCTGTGTTTATTACTAAAAAACGTTATCATAGAAAATCAATTTTTTTCATGGACCTACTGTAATTTTACACCTTTGCCGTTTATTTTGTGTAAAAATTCTGTACGCTAAGATGCTTACTATAAAATCAAATTGAAAAGACGTATCAAAAATAATAGAATAGGTTGTGCATGCGTCGCTAAGTTTCTTACTTGTATACCTACCACTTTTTTTCCGAAATGTTACCTGAAGATGCTTCTTACAAAACGCATTGAAGACATCACGTCAAGGAATGGATCTCGGTTGCATAGATTGAACTTTTTTTTAATTTTTGTACACGGATTTTTCGAAAATTTTAACAGAAGGTCGTACAAGGTCTTAGCGCATTTCCACAAATATAAAAAAAATTTGTTACTGTGGCCACCTTGTGCGCCCGTCCGTCTCGATGAGTATCGCTTTCAGATCTTTATCCTTCTTTTATTATTTGGTTCGTTATGGTGTCGACGCTTGCACCAAGGAAGGAATTTTTTGTGTCTCTTACAAAGTTTTAGCAACAAATGTATTTTTTCGCTTCTCATAATTTTCACTTATGCCGTTTATTCTGCTTAGAAATATTATAGGTTTGTTGCTTTTTGATTATCCAGAACTTAAACATGAAACTTACTCACTACTTACTCTAGCGATCATTTTGGCTGAAATAAACCCATAATTTGATTGAGAAAACGCGTTAAATGCACTGATATAGAGAACAATAAAATTGCATCTGTTGGAAACCACGGTTAGTCCTTTGGGTCATTATTAAGGATTTTCAGATCCTTTATAGTTTTTATGTCTTACTAACCTATAATAGCATTGTACCACTTTATGCCCTAGGGCATTAAGTATCACCCTATAGTAACTCATTTATACTTAATGACAAAACAAACAAATATTTGCAGGTCATTGAAAATTAGAAACGTCAATTATTAATTGTCAGTACCTACTAAATCACAAGATTGGCCTTATTTCGTATAGTTTCTGGAACTTCTTGCTCATTCACGATGAATTGAATTATTTAAAATTACGATGGACGTTTGGATGGTTTCAATCACATTAACAAATTGGAACCACGCATACTCGATGAAACATAATGAATTATTTTGTAAACGAATTTAGACGAAGAAAACTATTTGTAAAACATAAAATTATGTATGTACCACGGGCATAAACTGATGTTTATAATCTCGGGCGACTAAAAAGCTCTCGGGCCATAGGCCCTCGAGCTTTTTAACTTGTCGCCCTCGAGAATATAAACATCACTATTATGCCCTTAATACATAAATAACTATTATTGTCGTCCGTCCGTCAGTCCATCCGTGTGCGCTCTAACTCTTTTTAAAAGTGGCCGATTATGTTGAAATTTAGTGTACGGGCAGTTTGGACATTAAGGACGGACGCTATTGATTTTCAGGAAGCTGGTTCAACAAAAACAAAAGTTATAGGACTTCGAGTGAATCGGGAACAGGAAAAACTGCGCGCTCAATATAATAGAAATCATTTTTGGCGACCACGTGGATTTTGATCAAAACATGTCAAATTCGTTATTTATGCACCAAGATCGTTGGGAAAAAGACTTAGGACATTGGCCCATATGAATAAAAGTGAGCAAATGCTTATACTTGCAAAATTCAAAGTAAATACTAGGAAGTGCTCCTTCACACTGAGCGACTTAGCAGCGCTGCTAAGCAGCAGGACAGGACACAGTGCAGCGCTGCTAAACAAACCAGTATGAAGGGGCACTTACGAGTATTTACTTTGAATTTTGCAAGTATAAGCATTTGCTCACTTTTATTCATACGGGCCATTATCTCAATGCCCAAGACATGAATTTGAATCATTTTTGGCGACCAGGTGGATTTTGATCAGACATGTCAAAATCGTTATTTATGCACCAAGATCGTTGGGAAAAAGACCAAGAGCATTATCTCAATGACCAAAATATGAATTTGATCTATTTTTGTTGGCCACATCTCAAAATCGTTATTCTTGCACTGAGATTGTTGGGAACAAGATTAAGAGTATTATCTCAATGCCCAAGACATGAGTTTGCTGCATTTTTATAAACTGTAAAATGTATTTTGTAAGATTAAAATAAATTGTCGTTAAAAGTGATTGTAATGCTGAGAATCCTTCGATATTTCGTTGTATCGGTTTAATATATTTATTTTACTTCTGACCACCGCAAACACCATAGCATGAAAACATCGTTATAACTGTAATCTATCTGTTCCAGTGGAAGAAAATAAGGATACTACTCAGAAAGATCAAATGCTTAAGCTGGAAACAGTAGACCGATTGATGCAAATACCTGTTGTCGAATTTGGATTGAATTATGCTGGACACATGTACGGGAAAATTAAGGTAAGCAATGTTTTCTTTGTCGCCTATCCAATAAGCATGGAATTTTTAGGAATCAAATAATGTTTTAAATTGGACATTCGGTCAAGCAGAAGGGTCGATCCATTTCGTCGTATCTACCGCTATGCCAGCTATAAATTTATTTAACGGGCCAATTACTAGTATTGATAAAATATTATACCAGGGCTTGGAAAAAGTCGAGGAAACGATTCCGTTGATAACTCTTCCCCCGGAACAGGTAACATCTTCTCATTCGCCTCGTGATGGTGTTACACCTAAACGTACTATAGAATTATTATCAATCGTGTGGAGATCATTTATCCTATCAACGTCTGTGATTTTTATCAAAATCTAGGGAAATATTTAAATGCAGCCATAAATTAAACAGATTCCTTCAAATTTTAGATTAAAATAAATTTCAATTTCAGATTTATTGCAAAACTAAGGAATACATAAACGACGTTGTACTGAAAAATGCGATAGTTGCAGACATAGTACAAAAAGCGACAACTGTAACAAATATTGCTTTGGAAAGCAAGTACACCGGTATAGCAGCTGACAGGCTAGATAGTGCACTAAATGTGGCCGAAAAGTATCTGGATCAGTATCTACCAGCAGATCCAAATGACTCGGACAAGGAAGGTTGGTAAAACTATCAGCAACTTGTTTGAAGTATAATCCCTTCCATTCCAGTACTGAATTGCGATACCGCACACAGCCCAGCGGAAAAGGCTTTACATACTATATACCACGTAGATAAAATATCACGCAAATTTCAGCGAAGGCTGACGAAACGAACTTTGCTTGAAGCTAAAGCTTTAAAAGAGCATAGTACTGAAGCTGTACAGGCATTGTTGCATATTATTGACTTGGTAAGAAGTCGCTGATTCTTTTTGTTCTGTGTAATATAGGGCCGCTTAGTCAAATTTCTTGAAAACTGGTGGGTCCTCCGTTAATTATTTTTTTATAGGTCGTTATACTCGTAGTTCAGTTATTGAAAGTAAAATACGGCGATACCGTATAATTTTGCCAAACAAGAAAATTTGAAGTTTCTTCTACTTACCCTCTACTACACTTTTACCGTGGGGGTGGAAGCCGCCCTTTCTCGGTGGTGAAAAATGCTTCATTGAAAATAAGTCAGGGAAATGGTAGATTGGCTAATTCTAGCAATTTTGGTTCTAAGTACATAAGGTTTTTTTTAAGGTTGATCTTTTCGATCTATCCCCAAGCAAAGGTGTCAATTCTTCAACACGAAAGCCACGCTTTTAGGTGGTTTTTGGCAAATAACTCAAAAATTAGCTTATTCGTTCTTCAAAACCCATTTTATTGTTTTTCGACCTTTATTAACATTGAAAATATTTATTTTCGTGTGTGGATAGAAAGTGAACAGTTTCGTTCAAGGCCAAAAGACAATGGTGTCGCATCAAGTGACGTTTGTACCGTACTCGGCCATGATCGGTAGGTTAAGGAAAAGTCGCGTATACTGTCGACACGGTAGTGCTCACTGCCAAAAGTATGATCTTTGTCACTGCTCAATTGTTAATTCCAATCTAAAATTCTCGCACATCTCCTTTAAAGCCTGGTGTACACGGTACGATATATGTATGCTAGCAATTCATCGTAATATGATTGAGTTGTTACGATTTATCGCCGCATGTGAACAGATCATTGTAGCGATTTATTGAAATTGGATTGGATGATTGTCGGCCGCCGCATGCCCGATTACCCGCATCAATTTTCGCGAATCGTAGCGACAAGCTAGAACGTGTTAACAAATAACAATAACAACCATTCTTCGCTATGATTTGTGAGAAACCTGTCCTTACCTCTTCTTCAGAATTTTCCAATACTTCAAATGTCACATTTCAAATTCCACAGGTTCTTCAAATTCAAATAGATTTTTGTCAAATTATTCGAATTTTTGAAATTCTGTTTTCGAGACTTTTAGGCTAGATATCTATAATTTTCCGAAAAAACGGATAGTCCAAAATGAATGGTTTTGTTTGGAATCACGCTTTCAAAAGTTCCAGATCTTGCGTGTCTTCTTTAATTTTTTTCGGGGCAACCATATCAGATAGAAGAATAGAACTTGTGTCATTATACTTAGATTTTTGAGTGAATTTTATCATTTTGTGAAGAATTATATAGCCAAAAATTCCTACCCCAAGATATTTAGATTAAACCATACACGTAATTTGGTTATAACTTTTTCTATTTCATTATGTGGTATGATTTTAGATCGCAACTGATCCAAAAGTTGCTCTACAAAAAGGCCAGGAGATATGGGCAAGCTTAAGTAAATCGGAACCTGAAAATCAGGTTCCACCTCAAACGATAGATGAAGTACTTTTTATGTTAACTCGGGAAGCCGCGCGCAGAGTCGTACATTTCGTCAATTTTACAACTGGGGTTGTCAAGCAGTTACCAGACCAAATGCAGCTACTTACCTCCAGATGCATACATCTTGTGCAAGATATTTTTAAAGTATGTACCAATCGTTACAAGTTGAACTTTGCATTTTTTTCCCCCGTCACTATGATTTTGAATTCGTGACATACTTTTCAGAATGGACACTTGGAAAGCATAAATAAAGCTATTTACGCAACAGCCCGAAATCAAGTACATAGATTTGCTACATTACTCCACCAACTGAATGTATATGCTACTGAATTACTGGTAGGGTAAATAATGCTCACAGCAACACGATCTAACCATTGGGGTTTTAGGAGCAGGCAGCAAGAAATCTGAAAGACAAGGATGAAGTAAATAATGTAACCGGCGAACCAAAATCTTCGAAGCATTCTAAACACTCCCAAAATTCGTGTCACAAAAAACCACCTCCAAAAAGTAAGGCTAACGGTATCGATAATTAAGAATTAAGCGAAAGCAAGTTTAATTTACATATAGCTGTAGGTATATTTGATATTTATTCATTTGGTCTTATTAGTTATTTTATTAGTATCATGCACGATGTATAGGCTTCTTAATATTGTTTTCTTTATTATTACTTGGGAAATATCTTTAATATACTTTTAATATGTACCTATGGTATAATTAGGTACAATTTTACTTATTTTCCTGCACCTTACACTATCGGAAAGATCCGTTGTAAACTACGGTCCCGTATTTTGTCAAGGAGTTTTCATTATCTTGAAGTCTATACTCCTACCTCCATTCCTTTGGTTGCATTGCTAAACTTTAACCACCCTTAAATTGCTTTTGTCTCACTGAGTAGTAGGCTTTACAAAGCCCAAAATAACCCGCCCTCGGAATCCCTGTAGACAGGGGGTCGCAGAAACGAAACGCGTTGACCTAACCTTTTGGCAATAGGTACCTACAATTCAACAGGAAACATTAACTACGTAAAGTACTATTAGCGGCACAAGAAAAGAAGTCTTACCTGACTTTGAATTTGCATTCGTTATTGAGCACAGGAACAAGAAATCACAGAAATCCTGAAAAGTCTTGCTTCGGGTACCAGAGTTATAAATTTTCGAATCGCAAAAAAGAAGTCATTAACTTGGCGTAGTCGGCCGAACAGAGATCCTCGATTGAAGATAGAGAATTACGAAGATGGTCCTGTAATCCTTCGAACATCAACTCGTCGAGTCAAAACTTTTGGCATGCAATAATTCTATCGGCCACTCAACACCGACTGTAATGTTAATTTTGACCTGGTGTAGGTTACGACGGAAGTGAAACCTACAGCCAGTTTTGACTCCACCATCAGTAAGATCTTGTCGGGGGCTACTACATTCGCTTTGTCGGTACCCACTTCGGACGCCCCCTCACTGAGAACGGTGAATCGATTAAGTTCAACTTGACATTAGTTTGAATTTTATCCAATTTGGTTCGTACTCCACTAAAACGTGCTGCGCCCTCATTGGACAAAACGGCCAACCGATGAGAGCGTAGTGCATCTGACCGCAAACGTTTAAAATTAGAGGTCCGAACTCTGCAAAGGTAATTCCTGCTTCGACGGCGCTCCAAGAAATAAGCAGTTCTCCGCCTGCAGAACAAGTTCGCCTTACCAGCTCGATCTCGCACCACGCTCCACCAGGCAGAAAACCCGCATCCGCGCTCTCTCCGACGACAGCGCTCGCCGCGTAGGTACACTTCGGCTACCATTTTGTAAATATTCCATAAAACGCAACAGCATTTTATTTAGCGTCACCGCACGCTAAATAACTGGTGACAGCTGATAACAGCTAACCGACGCGACGATCGACACGGAAGCCGTTTCCAAGATGCCGAATGGTTCCCAGGATCCTTCCGACGAGCACCTAGACCAGTACACATCCGTTAGCCGTGTAGCAGTGAAAGCGCCACCGATTTGGAAGAACGACCTCAACCTCTGGTTCCACCAACTCGAGGCAGAATTGCACATCTGTGGTAGGTGTCACCAATGATACGATGCGTTATTACACAACGGTCCACGCCATCCTCAAGCCATTGCCACAACGGCACCAGGCCATTTTAACGATCAGTTCCGATAATCTGGATCATTGACCATTTTTCACTCAACGCCTAGAACACCTCGTAACCATGGCCGACAAGCTGCATGAGGTATACGACCAACGCGTCATCGCAGACCGAAAGCGAAACCCTTGGAATAATCACCGCCTAATTGGAAAACGCAATTTCTCCCCTTACATCTACAGTCGCGCACTTCACAGCTCGAATCAACACCATCCACACACAAAATCGAGGCGACAACCGTTAGTGGTAGTGAAAACGCTCGCATTTCCGAAGCAACTCAGCTATACACGCTCTTGCGAATGTTGGTATCACCGACGGTTTGGCGTCCGAGCGAAACATTGCACGGATCCCTGTTCGTACAAAACTGCCGGCCTAATTCCCTCGTCGCCATCCAGTGTGTGACACCAAAAACATTTGCCGCCTACTCGTTAAATCCACCACCCCATTCTTAATGGATATAGGCGCCAACGTGTCAGTTTTTTTCCGTCCTCAGCTTGCTCCGTCACCAAGCCCCTGACAAGATATAAACTTTTTGTAGCCAATAGGACCACCATGGCACCATCAACACCTACCGTACCAAGTTGCTGTCCCCAGACCTAGGCTTTTGCAGGAACTTCGTGTGGCAGTTCCTCCTGTGTGACATCAACCAGCCCATCACATACACATGGAATTGATCGGTCCCCTTCCTACACATGTTAAGATACACACGTACGCACTTACGCTCATCGACCGCTTCACTGCTTGGTGAGAAGTTATTCCCATACGACCATCGTCGTATCTTTTATAGTTTCGGAGATCCCCATAATAAACATTCTTATCTTCGATACGGTGTATATCATAGGTGTCGTTACATAAATATTTTAGATATGTGCTTAAAAAAAGGACAGCGAAATGGTTCACTTTATCACAGCCGTCTATAATTACAAGCCATGCTGAAAAGTTTGGCAACGTTGTTCGAAAGTCAATCGGTGGGCCGATGTAAGTTTTAATGGCGTCTTGTTGCTCTTGAAAAATGGCATTTTCCTCTCTCCTGTGTTTCGCCTTGGCGGTTTTAATATAGAAGTAAGATACTTAGGCAGCTTACAATTGTGCATATATATTATTTATTTACAAAAATGGATAATAACATTTTTATTTGACTTTAAAATTCGGAACGCTGTAAATTGGTAACTGCACCATAATGTGTTTTCCATCGAGATCTCCGAAATTGGTGAACTTCTGTCGAAAGAGGCCGAGGTGAAGCACACGCTTGAGCACTTCATTTCGGTAAAAGAACAGTAAATCGCTGCGCATCAGCGAGGTTATATCAACGACCAGGTGTGATTCGGAATGGCAGACTTTAAACCAGTCGCTACTCCAGTGGGTCTAGGTACGAAGCTTTTAAAGAGGGGAGCCCCGTAGACTTCAAATTCCCGTACCATGAACTCTTGGGAATAAGTTGAAAGGTTCCTTCAGAAAATCGATTTGACATGTCTGTGCTAGAATACCTGAAATACAAACTAATTGTATTTTTTCACGATAAACACTTACTGTACTTACGTACCAGGTAGTGTGTAGGTCATATTTGAGCTTGTACAGGTACTTTGAACAAATACAAGTGCTTGTAAAGGGTCCAGTAAGGAGTAGCCTGCTTTAGAGGTTATGACAACAAATCGATATATTTCGTTTAGCAACTTACCTGAATAATAATTTCTGGTCATTCCGTACGGAGTAACACAAATTGTCGCAATTTCGCTCTGTTAAGACAGGTAAATTGGAATATTACACCCAAAACACATATAAAATACACCCAAAATCTGTCAAGTTGAATTAGGAAATCGGCCTACCATGCAGTGTTGCCATAATTCTCAGCACGGCTTGTAATTATAGACGGCTGTGACTTTAGTGTTATTGTTAGGTAAGTTCACTTTGGGCAAACGTAACAAAATTGCCTGGAGATAAGCACACGGTAAGCTCAGACAAAGTAGAGGTGGGCCGGGCTGAATATCTGGGCTCTTGTTAACAAGCAAAAGGGTAAAGTAGTAATCCGGATAGGCGCCACTTAGTCTTCAGTAAATGTCAAAAGAGAGGGGAAAACACTTACCAAAAGGGGGAACAAGGCAGACTAAGCAGACCTTCCACGTGCATTCATTTCATCAAACTTTGAATTAACGCCATGTCTTCGAACTTGAAACAGAATGTTGATCGTTCGCACAAACTTGGCGAACAAATACAGGTACGATTCTGCACGCGAAAACAACGTTCCTCGTACACTACAATACGTAAATGTATCTCGCTTATGTCTTACCTCCAGGAGCGACAACCACATCCACGCGCGCGCCCAGCATCGCTCCGCGCCAAGAATTTAGGATTGGCAAAGCTCTTGATCGCTCCGCACCAAGAACGATGCAAACTTTGCGTGTGACCACTTCCACGTTCGAACTTGGTCTGTTTGTAGGAGTGTACACTCCAAGTTCGATGAAATGAATGCACGGGGAAGGCCTGCTGAGGTCCTTGTTCTGGTCTTGCTAAACTAAAGCATAGTTGTGTAGTATGATGTCATTCACAAGCTGCGACCTTGTGTGGGTGTTGATTGTGATGCGATTTCCTTGACTGCCTAGGACCCAGGTCTACCTTAGCGCAAATTAAAATGGCGTATATATCCAGGTAACAGTAGAGCTGGGGGTATAGGGTTGGGAATCGCTGATTTAAGGCTGGGATTGCCTGAAAAGAGAAGTACCCATAGTAAAGGACAAAGTTTTTTTCGTTAGAATGTGCTGGTACCTAATAATGAATAGCGTAACTACAGCAGTTTTCTATACAAATATTTAAATCATTATACTCTCTTTAAGTGGACCCCAAACAACACAGAGGGAGCTTTAAAAAAAATGCAATTTGATTTGCATAACCACACGACAAGAAAATACAAAACACAAACGCAAGGTCGTTCACGGCTCCTTACAGACTGCTAGGTTAACAAAATTATAATTAGCGCTCTACCACAAATAACTTGAGGAGAATAATGAACCGTTGTAACGTAACGTATGAAGTAAAAATCGCGTAATTATTGGCATGGGAGACTTTCAAAATTAAGATCTCTTGATCCTTCACTTAATGGTAAAACGCCGACATTTCAAAGAAAACACCTTTGGAAATTCAATTCTTTTTCATTGTTACCATTGAATAAAGAGGTTTTTATTCAATGTCATTACGAAGTGTGTTTGTTATACTGATAACGATCCTAGTGCCTATTCAAATAACAGGTAACGAAGACTTTGTAACTAACGAAATGTTATTACAGTAGAGACGCGTTTTGACTTTTAGGACTTGGAAAAAGTTCAACCATATTTTCGTTTTTTTGTATTTTTCTCTGAAACGGTAGGGAAATTTCGAATTAGAACAAGCAAAAGCTTTTATGGAGAATGCATTTTTGTCAAAAAGTATAGTAAGTTTTTCTTCTTGTAAAGTCAATCCGGGGACATACGGTATAACAATTTTTTTAAAATTTTTTTGCCGTTTATACCTAAATATACATTTGTTCCCCATGTCTTACATTCGAGGGATGGTCTTTTGTAAATTAGTTTTTTACTGAAGTTAATAGTTGTTTACAAAGATATTTAATAATAAATGACACATTATTATGGCCCCTTTTTTCCCTCTACAAGATGCTACTTTTAAATTTGAAGTTTGACGTTTCGTCTCCGGTTAACTTCATCAACTTTGTTTCTTATGGAAGTAATTTTTACTTTTTGTGTCATTTGATAGAGAATTTTTTTCTGATTTCAAAAATGTACACATCAATTTTTTTAATGCTTGTAAAATATCTTTTTTGCCTTTGTCTTAAATAACGTACGTAAGTAGTTTCTTGCGTTTTTACGAATTAACGTTATTTCTTATTAAAAATAGATGATGTTACCATCAAGGGTAACTTTGTCAAATGTAAACTACCTCTACCTATCTCTTACAGTTCCCGAGATCCCCATGGTGGCCTTTGAATTTGAATCACCCTGTATAGGTCAATTATTACACATTACACTAAACTGACTAAACTAATACTAATATGTAATAGGTACTATCATTGAATAAAGAGCTTTATTCAATGGAACTACTTAAGTTCAAAAAATTTAATTTGCAACAAGGTATGGATTATAAATTACGGTATTTTAATCTGCAATCAGCAAAGATAAAGAATAGGGAAGAAGGTCAAACCAATCGCATTACAAATAAACACCCACACAAGGTCGCATCTTGCCAGACATCAACAACAATATACAACAGCCCTTTGTTCTAAAAATTACGTAAAATTTTGATATTTGTTGTAAAGGAATGTTACATGTTACCTATCCCCATTTCTATTATTTATTTCATAAAACGATAGGTAGAGGAGGTACCTTTTGCAATGAATAGGAAAGAGAAACCAAATAAATGTCGAAGCAAGTAGTTGACAAAATAAAAATACACCAGTGAACGATCTTTTTCTTGCTGTCAGCAAATTCTATTACACGCACGCTCTGTTCAACCTTGAAAGAGAATCGCTAAATGATTTAGCATAGGCAACTTACATAGCCTGCTAGTTTTTTTTTGCTCGTAAATTTTTGGTCTTTTATTATCCCCATTACACAGTTACTAGTACTAGCCTAGTTAAAAAGTAAGAACAACTCCATCGCAAGATAAAAGCGCTTACCTATTTCATATCTTTATCGTATTTTTTACTGACTTCCTAAAACTCTTGGTGGCACCCTCTGTGACAAAGAAGCTACACTGTTGACCGCGATATTAGTCACAGCTGCGTAGTTTATTTCCATTTCTCCAGTTTACATGCCCATTTTTCAGAACTTCATTCACCACTTTTTTTATGAAAACTTTTGAGCTTCACATGAATTGCCAAAATATAGATAAGTATTCACGCTACTGATCCCATACACCCGTATTGCTTAAATTGCTCCCTAATTTTTGCAATTAATTCCTAAACTATGAACTCTTTTGACGCATGTTTTCTGGATTTTTTAAACATATATTAATGGACAAAATATCAGTTTATATTTTTATTTATATTTATATTTATATCTAATGCATATTTTTCCGATCATATACACCCCTTGCTTATGGAATGGTGAATGAAGTTCAGAGGCAATGCACGCCCCATTGAATTACATGTGCATCACCAGTTGCCTATACTCTCTAAATCCAAACCTTAAAATACTTTAGAAATAAATGTGGCGTTTGTTTTTTCGGCCATTGGCATAATATGGAACCGACTTGGTAAATTTGTAAGGGCAAGAAAAGTAATTAATGGAACATGCCATACTAAGTAAATTGTCAAACACAAGAAGGTTATTTTCATACTATATATCGCATGCAGTAGGATGTAATATCATAAATTAATTGCTCACTCTTTGATTGCTCTCATTGCGAACTTATTACATTTCACATATCTCGTTGAGAAACAAATGAAGGATTAAACAGCAATGCCGACTTACTGCATAGATAGTAAAGCCATTACGTTTTACAATGACCCAGTCTCAGTCTTGGATTTTGCGTGTTTCTACTGTATTCGAATTTACCGCTCATGATTTAGTAAGTTTTTGTTTTCGGAAAATGAAGCCAGATCTTATACATATTTTACTCGTAGCAATGTAGCATCATATAATGCTGAGTATACAGGGTGGTGCCTAGCGCGACGCAGCATAAGGATTTCAATGGTAATTCCTTTATAGTCAATTACTAGCTCCCCTAATTATTTTAGAGCAAAAGTCTAAACAGGATTTTTTCGGAGAAAAAAATACTGCATCTGTTCATACTATTGCTCATAATTTTCCGTTTTTCAAAACCGTAGAAATCGACAAAATAAAAAGGTTCATTTTACAATAAATCAGATATGCCTTGGAATTAACTAAAAAAACAGCGATAACTTTTCATTATTTGCCTTTGATGTATACTAAATTTATACTTTTTATAAATTAGTTAATCATCAAAATGTTTATCATGTATTTAACTGAAGAGAAAGAGGAATAATGTTAAAGTTGTTTTATGCCCGCCAAGTAATAACGATTTCAAGCAGTACCACAGTAGACAGAATGGTGAGCAAGTTTCAAAGAACAGGAACAGTGTTAAATCCCTGCAAGTGCAATAATGTTCAAAATGTCCGTCAAAACCATAAGGAAAACGACAATATATATTCATCGTTTCAGGCTTCGGCTGCAGCAGCGGAAAATCCGAATATATGTTTAAGAGCAATTCTTCCTCAAATCAATTTCTTTTTCTTCGATTATGTACTCTGGTTCCGGAAAATAATACAAAATAGTATCTGATGCAGATGCAGCATTACAATCTCTAAAAAAAACATTACCTCAATACCTCATAGACGCTGTTTCTTGCGTCGCGTCGGATAGTTGTAACAGAATTAAATATGAAAATTGTTCGACGTCAAACAACGATAACTTAGATGCGATGCGCTTGTAGTTTATTAAAAGATTCCAAAGCATCACTGATTTATACAAATGTAATTTTTTATTTTGTGGTTTTCTACGGTTAGTCCAGGAAATAGAGACTGAAAATGGACCATTTCCTGCAAAACGAGAAGTAGTTACAACTACTGAACTGAAGTGAGACAATTTTTTAATTTCAAAAGTATATTAGATATACTATATTTTTTATATAGTATATAGTAGTATATTATATTTTTTTCTAAAGTGAACCATTAAAAAGACATGATTGAAAAACTAAGAAACCAACCAAATTTCAGGGGCTTTGGGGGTGGTACGGAGGAAGCACAAGGGGTGGGAGGTCGAAAACTTAGATTCTTAACCACCAGATGACTGTCTATGACATGCAAAAGAAATTGGAACTACTTCTCATTTTGCAAGTTAAAACCCTCTATTCCCTGGACTAGGTTTTGAAAAACAGAAAATTATAAGTAATCGTATGAACAGATGCAGTATTTTTTTCTCTAAAAAAACGTATTTAGACTTTTGCTCTGAAATAATTAGGGGAACTAATAATTGGTGAGTAACAAACAGTCAAGGAGACTGATGCAAATTGGTCGATTTGGGGAATTTGAAGTGAAAGTAGTTTGTTGTTCTATGGTGAAAGTCAAGCCGCATGAAACGTCTCTAGACTAAGGGTGTTATTTACTGCCGTCATTTTTTAAATTGCAGTGAAGAAGAAATACTAGACGGTCTTAAGGATGAGAATGTTGTAATAATAGAAGTGTAAGGCATGAGTGCTAGAGGAAGACTGGTTTATTTGTTGCGTGTACACTGGTACTACAATACATGCATACATGTCAGGTTGCCTATACTACAAATGTGATTGCTGTGAAAAGGATTAAGAGGAAAGTCAGTGGAAATCTTGTAGACACTCCTAACATTATACTTACGTTCAATTCTACCGTATTACCTACGAAAATAGATGCAGCTTTCTATGTTTTAAGAGTGAGGCCGTATATCCCTCCACCCATAGCATTATATTATGCTCCACCGATGCGCTGTTACAGAAATTTGGACATACTACTGTAAAGTGTCAGAGTCCTCAAGTATGTGTATGTGGAAAACCGCCGCTGTATAAACTGTAAAGGAAATCACCCTGCAAACTCCAGGTCATGTGAAATGTACCTATAAACAAGAGCTGCAAATTCAAGAAATCAAAGTTACACGGAGGGTAACTTACCCGGAAGCAAGACGATTGGTAGTACCGTAACGACCAATAATTTGTATGCTAATGTTGCTATGCACAATGGTGGCTCGACACAACAAAACATTATCCCGTCTCAGGTACAGTTGGTGGCTGAAATCAGAAAGATTATTAGGGAAGAAATGAAGGAACTTACCTCAGAGATGATCGCACACGTGAAACAGTCTCTATCGCGGCCTGCTGACGATAGAGTAGAATTTTGTCTTCCGGTACCCATAGATGACGAATCTCTGTCGCGAGGGAGTAGAATTTCGTCTTCCGATACCCATGGATGCCGAATCCAGGGGTGCAAAACGCAAACCCTCTCTGACGTCATCCGCGACCTCAAGCATTGAGTCCGTAGATGAAGGGCCTAGAAGAGGCAAAAAGCGGTAAAAAGAAAAAGGGGTGGCCCAAGGGTAAACCCCGAGGGCCTGGGTTACCATCTAGTAAGTGATAGAATCTGTGATAAAACCTATGATATTTTTTGATCGATGTCTGTATTTATTTATTTACTTAATTGTTTAGTATCGTTGCTCAATGTCGTGTATTTGTATTTGTCCCCATATACACTAAATGTTATTTATTTTATACCGCTGTGCATCGCTCTCCAAGAGACTCACCTAAAACCTAGAAGCAAATTTTCCATGAACGGTTTTGAGATCATACGGAAAGACTTTCGATCACCAGGAAGGGCCTGCGGTGGAGTGGCTATTGCCATAAGGAGAGGCACTCCATACAAGCGAATTAGAATCGACACAGATTACCAGATTGTGGCTGTAAAACTCGATCTTAACAACAGCTTTACGCTTTGCAACGTATATCTTCCAAACACAAATTATGACGTAGTAGAAATAGGAAGAATTATCGACCAGCTTCCAGCACCGTTCATTTTTGTCGGAGACTTTAACTCTCACCACTCGCGGTAAAGAGCTCTTGGAACTGCTAGAAAGCAAAGATCTCAGTATCTTAAACGAGAACGCATCGACTTTCTTTGACGTCCGATCGGGCACTTTCGACTCGATCGACTTGTCTATATGCACGCCGACCATGCACACCTACCTCAAATGGGAGGTGGAGAGCGATCTTTTCAACAGCGACCACTATCCAATCGTTATCACGATCGGAGGTGGAAACTTTCCCATTAGGACAGTGTCTAAGTTCAAGCTATGGCAAGCTGATTGGAAAGCTTTCTCTGAAAAACTCGTTCCTCCCGACGAGGGAAACCCAAATGTAAAATCACTTACCGACTCCATCTTGAAAGCGGCGGAAGAATGCATCCCAAGATCGAGGTCCTGTGTCATCAAACGCAGGGTTCCGTGGTGGACACCTGAAATAAAACAAAAAATAAATGTTAAAAAACAGGCCTTGAGGCAATTTAAACGTCGTCCTAGTAACGAAAACTTGGTCGAGTTTAAAAAGAAGAGAGCAGTGTCGACGAGCGATTCTCAATGCCCAAAGAACGTCTTGGCAGCGTTACGTGTCTACTATCACACCGGACGCTACATCGAATGAGGTATGGGGGAAGATCGGGGCCATATCTGGTCGATCTCGTCTCGTACCAGGCATCCCAATTTCCTTCGCGGTACTGACGACACGATATTGGAGAATCCGCAAGATGGTATCCACAATGAGATGCTTCGTCATTGCACCGATGACCTGAAAAGGATCATATTAAAATATTATAACGTTTGCTGGCAAACACATACTTACCCCCGGGAATGGAAAAAGGCCATTGTGGTCCCGATTCCGAAGCCGGGAAAGGACCCACTCTTCTCGAAGAACTACCGCCCAATCAGCCTGACGTCGTGTTTGGGAAAGCTGCTCGAAAAAATGGTTAACGTGCGACTCCAGTTTTACTTGGAGAGTAGCGGAGTGCTGGTACCATATCAGGCCGGGTTTCGCAAGGAGCGATCGACGACTGACCATCTTGTCGGGCTCGGCGATAATATCCTGCGGGCATTCGACGAGCGCAAACACCTGGTAGCAACTCTCTTCGACATTAGAGGCGCGTACGACATGACCTGGCGACACGGAATTATAGAAAAGATGCACAAATACGATCTACGTGGAAACTTACCCAAATTTGTCCGGTCGTTCCTCGAGGGACGAAGTTTTACCGTTAGGATTGGCGACGTTTACTCCAAAGAACGCGTCTTGGAGAACGGTGTCCCGCAGGGTTCGACGTTGAATTGTTCGCTTTTCGCAATAGCGATAAACGAGATTACACGAGGTGTCACGCACGAGATCGATAAACGCCTGTACGTGGACGACCTAATGATAGCTTGCGCGAATGAAACTGTCGGTGGTGCGACGCGCAAACTCCAAGACGCGATCGACTCCATATCTACGAACACGAAGGAAGTGGGTTTCGAGCTGTCAGAAGAAAAAACTAAGGCATTACATTTTTGTCGGCTTCGCAGGCCACACTACGATCCTGTACTATACCTGAATGGCCGAATGATAGTTGTGCCCCAGGAGGTCAGATTTTTAGGTCTGGTTTTCGATAGCGAGCTGAGGTGGAAACGACATGTCGAAGGGCTGGTAACGTCTTGTCGAAAATTGTTAAACATTATCAGAGTACTCGCACATCACAAGTGGGGAGCCGATCCAAAAACGCTTCTTGACGTTTATAAGGCTCTGATACTTTCAAAGCTCGACTACGGCTGTAACGTCCACTCCACCTGTAGTAAAACTCAGCTCAAGGAACTTGATGAAGTTCAGAATCTCGCGATTCGATACTCACTTGGAGCTTTTCCAACAAGTCCGACTGATGCCCTCCACGTCGAGGCAAACGTTCACCCGCTGGCTCTGCGAAGAAAGCAGATCATCACTCAGTATTGTCTGAACATATCGCTGCAGGAAAACCATCCAAACCACCAAATACTTACAGATAGAACAAGAACTGCGCGATTAAGAGCATGTAGACCGTTAGGCATACGATCTGGAGAGGTATAGGTATTGGATGAACTGGGATTGGGCGAGACTGATTTCGCAGACTCGACGAAAAGATCAAGACGGTCGATTGTGATGAGTCAGTTGATGGAGAAATGGAGGGAAGCGTGGACGGAGACGGAAACTAGGCTTAGAAGGGTCAAACCAAGCCCAGGTCCGCTGTTCCACATGAAGGTGGGACGATATAACCATACCAAACTATACAGGCTGAGGATAGGGCACACTGCTCTCACACATGGATACTTGCTGAAAGGTGAGAATGCTCCAGTATGTGAGAGATGTAATGTAGCATTGACGGTGGAACATATACTCTGTACTTGCGTGAAGTTTGATGTTCAGCGTGCCACCTTTAAGATTAACAGGAACTGGGCCGAAAATTTTAAGGGAAGGGAAGAGTGTGAGAGGACAATTACCTACATGCGGTGCATTGGAATGCTTGATAAACTATAGATGATCGTCAAAAATAAAAATAATGAAAATGGTGGTAATGGTGAGGATAGTAATAATAATGAATGTTTTGTTAAAATTTTAATATCTATATTATGGTTGTTTTGTATATTGATGTGATCTGGTTTAATTGTTTGTTGTGCATATTTACTATAAAGTTCAATTTAAAAATTAGTTTTCTGCAAACTATAGGCTAATGGCCGCAGTAGCCGACGCCTCAGGTGGGGTTATAGGGGAGTCCCACACTATTCCGGGTTCCCAGCCGGAGTGTGCGTAATGCATTTTCCCACCTGTCCAAAAAAAAAAATTGGCTATAAAGAAATTACCATTGAAATCCCTATGCTGCGTTGCCCTAGGCACCACCCGGTATAATGTATGATCTAAGGCCTCTAAGGGCAACATATCGCAAGGCGCTACAAGGTACCTACAGTGTACAGTGTGAGTGCAAAATTCTATTTGGCGTAATTCAAAAGAATACCAATAGTCTAAGCATTTGAATTTCGAAAGTTGGAAAAGCATTCCCCCCTTTAAGAAACCGCCCCGTTCGTCCCTGCCTACTGAAAAAACCAAAATCTATACATTTACTCTGACCTCCTACAGGGTCGCGAGTTCTTTTTGCCTTATGAACGAACGAGAGCGGTATATTCGAGATAGTGACTGCCGAGTACCGTGGTCCTGTATATGTTTCTGCGCCATCTATAGACGAACCGCTGAACTAACGTTTAGCTTTCGATGTAAATATAGTGCGAAACACCTCTAGGGACACTATAGGCAAGGCACAGACAACATATACTACAGACGGTCAATCTTAAGGCTGATTCTCACTATACATAACGTTTCCATACCATATCCATTCCATAACCATTCCGTAAATTATTATAAGCTACGAAATTGACCTTTAAGTGATATGTGCGTAAGACATTCAGTCGCGCGCTAATACACATTCGCCTTCCATATGTGAACGGAAAGGAGAATGTGTATTAGCGCGCGGCTGAATGTCTTACGCACATATCACTTAAAGCAAAGATCATACTACACTAGATAGACAGCGCTGTATAAATTTTAGACTCTCATAATTCGTCCCGCCAAATAAGTCGACTGCGTCCTCCAGCGGCTATGTTTTTATGAGAATAGTACAAACTACCTGGCGGGGTAAGAAGACGCGCGAAATGGCAAAGCACAGTTATTTTTAGAATAAAGGGCTATTGTATGGGATATCGGTGTCATTCTTAAGCGCAACCTTGTGTGGGTGTTATAGATGTTTTTATCTGGTTACCTTACTGTAAATTAAAATACCGAATACTCACATCTTGTTTTAAATTAAATTTTTTATCGTAACACAACGAAGTGAGGTAAAGCTTATGTGCTCGTGTTTCCATCTGTCCGTCCGTCCGTCCATCCGTTCCATCGAGATCTCGGCCCCTGGGCCACCTAGAGACTTCGGGTTTACGCTAATTGATAGCCGTTATGGTCTATATTTGCCCATTTCGATCAGTTTCGTATTTTCCATATTTTGCGCAGACTGTGCAATGCCAACTTTCATACTTATGGAGATATTTCTTTGAAATTTTAACCACAGACGCTTCTAGTTCCGACTCACTTTAGCTGGACACAATTTTATTATGTAGGAGGCTAAGCGGGATATCTCGTTTATCCCAATCATAAAATGCTTAATTACAACAAATCTAAATTAGATAAATGTGTGGTTACAATGTAAATATGCCTGGATAAGTAGGTGCATATTATCACAGATTTATAGTATATTTAAATCTGTGATATTATATTTGAAGATTTGCTAAAGTATCGTAGATAGGTACGTGAAACTAAAAGTTTTCAGAAATTATGCTAAGAAAAAAGACGCTTTTGCAATTATTAATTTAATCCGAAAATCTGGAAAATGTATTGGTTAGCGCTGGTTAAAAAAAAGCAAAGGGAATATTGTGTACAACTTTCAAATTATTTCTTTCATTGTAACGTCCTGACTGTAATAGAATCTACCTCGTCTTGAATGACGCCCACTTACAAATGTAATTTTATCCCAATGATAGTGAGGAGTGTTCAGTAGGTCATGTTTATGTGTCTCGTGTTTAGACAATAATCACTCTTTGTATTTATGATATGATTCGAACTCGTACGAAGACGGCTTCGGATGAATCAGTTACGTTCTTAACTTTGAAAGCCCCCTATAAATATTTTTATGGAACTACTTAAACGCGAAACAACTCTTGCATATACGCTGGCTATCTATTGCTTAAAGGTCAATTTCATAGATATAATAATTTACGGAATGGTTATGGAAAGGATATGGTATGGAAACGTTATGTATAGTGAGAATCAACCTTTAAGGGGAAAAAGCACGCCAAGTTTTGTTTCAAATGTCCCCTTATTTAAAAACCTGCTATCCCTCTATTTTGCTCCATCTATTAGCGCATACAACAATGTGTTGGTTCTTCTACAGATTTCTTATTTTGGAATGGTTTTGCAAATTGTCTAGGGAAAGAAGTATTGATACTTTATTTTTAGAAAGCTGTCCCACTCTCGCAAGAAATCCCCATATTTACATCTGGGCGAAGTGCTGATAATCTTTGCAGGTACACATACAAAGCAAATATCACTTCATATTCGCAATTACGTATTACTCGTTGTCTTTGGGTGCATAAGAAACGATATAACTTGCACCACTTTTCGAATTCTCGAAAAAAGTGTAATCTCCGTGTTTGTTTATATTTATATACCTACTTGTCTCTCCGTTTGTGGAATAAATCTTGCAATCAGCAATTTAACTTCATTTTACTTGGATAAAGAAAACCTAAACGTAAGCAAATTTTCGTATGAATATTTGCCTCATATGTAATAAATCCCATATGAGGTGTGCAATTATCGGTCAATTACAGCGGTAATTGCATTGCAGAAAACGAAAGAGCCCTGCGATAATTGCACCTGCATGGGAATACACTCAGGGCATAAAATAACATGTTAACTGGGTGACACTTGTGTCGCCCAGTGTTGAGATTTTGTCGCCCAGTGGCTATGGGTGGTGCCGGCAAATTTATATTTTTTAATAATTTAATAATTCACATTTTACATTTATCGGAATTTTAAAAGTATTTAAAAAATGACAGACATTGAGTAAATATTTTAGAATATTCTCAGTTTCCGTTTAGTAAACAAGCGAGTAACAATGGAACTGCGATTTCTGATTTTTTTTTTTTTTGAGTTGGATCCATCGTTCCTCGAAATGGGGGTTGAAATATATTATGTTATCAAAAATCTCTAAACCTTCCCCATATAGTTTTATTCGTTGAAGTTTTTTTTATTTTTAAAAAACTTCAACGAATAAAACTATATGGGGAAGGTTTAGAGATTTTTGATAACATAATATGCGATTTCTGACTTAAAATGAGTCGGGGAGAGTCGAGAGTCATTATTCATATACTTCTTTTGGGCCAAAAATCCCAACCGTACACGGTACAAGTGTAGAACACATGAGAAAAGGCGCGCAGTTTGAAAGTATGTCAGTAGCGCATGCGCAGCTAAGTCGACGCTAGCGCTCCGATTTTGCCGGCTTGCCGAATGCCGCCAGTCGAGAGTGCACTGTGTTGGGGGAATGTTGTCGGTCGACTCGACTCCAACTAACTGACCAGTGACTGACTAACGGATATTCCAGGTTAATTCTTCGTTATTAATAAGGTATTTTATAGTAGCCTACCTACATAGTACATGTAATCAATTATTTACTTATTAATTATTTACTTTTAAAACTAAACCTACGCCAACGCCAAGTTCTATTTCATTAAAAGACACGTAAAAATCTGTGATTTTCCCTTTAATTTGTGCAAACATTTTCCGGGGGGGCCCCGGACCCCCCTCTCTCCTGGGGGGTATCGCAGACCCCCCGGTGAGTACACTCAGTACAGGTCCTTGTCGCCCAGTGGAAATCCCTTAAAATATGCTCTGAATACACTTAACAATTTTATAAGTAGGTAAGGTGAGTGTAATGTTTATTCGGGAATTACACTCGTGCATCAAAATAAATCTGATAATTTTTAGCGCATTTTCCAACGAAGTTGCGTGCGCTATTGCAGCCACTTTCTCTGTCCGTCCGTCTGTCCGAGGCCTTAACTACTCCTACAGTTTTCAAGATATTTAGTTCGTTCTTTTTGCATTCGGTAGCGTATCGCTCTGGCACCTGAGTCAAAGAAAATATTGACGATTGAACTGCGCATGCGCAGGCTGCGCAATGTTAACTTTTTTATTTATTAATATATTTTGTTGAAATTTTAATCACAGATACTTGTAGTAAAGGCAAACATATCGCATATAGTCAAAATCAGATGTGCGCATGCGCAGACTGCGCAATGCAAACTTTCTTATTTATGGAGATATTTCTTTGAAATTTTAACCAAAGATACTTATAATAAAATCAAACGTATTGCATATTGTAAATATCAGATTAATAAGCGCAGTAAGTGTCAACTTCTTTATTTATGAAGATATTTCTTTAAAATTTTAACCATATATGCGTGTAGTAATGAAAAACTTAGCGCACATAGGTATGGCCTTTGGGGAAGTATTGATCAATTTATGGAAAATGCGCCGCAGTTACTTGCCTATAGGGCGAAAACCTTTTTACTTGTTTATTCAAGTATCTTATCAGTAAAAAACTGCATTCGGTTATTTTCATAATTTGTTAAAAGAGCATTTTGATGGACTTGTGCAATTACCTACGAAAATTGTCACAAAGCAAAGTTTTAATAGCGATCCTCGAGATGGTTTATAGCTTTGTATCTATTACTGTCTGCCGGTTTAGTGTGTTGTCACTTCACTCAACGAAACCATGTGTATTGTATGCAAAAAATCCCCTGAATCTGTAAATGGCAGTCTAGCTGACCGGAAACTCCGGGAACATATTGCTATACAGAAGAAAACGAAGAAAAAATGG